TTGCAATTAAAAAAATTATTATGGTACATAAGTTGACATGAGATGAGAGAAAGTGGATGGAAGGCAACAAATGAATAGGAATTTGGGTATGAAAAGAGAAAAGTGGTTCCTCATGAGTCATATTCAAAACAATTCACGTAGTCCTGACCACGGGCCAGCCTGACTCTCCGGTTCGACCCGAACTGCCTCGGACCTGACCATGAACCGGCTCGTGGTCAACGGGTCTAGACCCGAGCCCATAGTATGATCGGGTCAGTTCAGGCCCCATGTATAAATTTTTTGACCCGACGAGCCGAGTCGAAACTGGCTCTGAAGACAGGTTAGACATTCAATTTTTTCTTCATGTAAACCGGGTCGATCCCGAATAGCCGGGTTGGTGATCCGGCCCGGAACCACCGGGGCAGTTTCGGGTACGTGTTTTCATGCCCGACGACCACGGGGTCCACGACTACATTCATTCTTGAGGTCCCACTCCTTGTATGTGTCCATGTTGGTTCCCATTGTTAGTTTTATGACATTTTTATTTATGTTATATATGAAATCTCAATTGAAAATTTACAATGTGTACTTCATCACAAATATACATTTTTGCATAACCATTTTCCTTCGTAAAATCAACAATTGATATTCCCGTATCCGTTTCTATTTTGTAATTTATTATTCTTAAATTAGGCAATTGTATCAGTTACAGATTATTTTGTGAGAGCATTTAATCAGTGATGGGAGTTGTTTTTTGCTTGAGGATCGTATTAAAGGCAGATAAATATTTTGATATGTAATGATTTGCTATTTTAATAATTTGTATCATATTAAGGACTCTGCCCTCAGTTAGTCTTATCTTAGAGTTCTTTTACCTTGATTAAATGCAGAATGACCAGAAAAACAAAATAGCCCATTAAGGCCCAAAGGCAAAATAAAAAAATAAAAAAAATAAAAGGCAAAACGCATAGGTAGGGAGATTAAAGTGTACACGTGGCTTTATGGAAGCACCAGGAAAACGAAATAGGATAAATAAAGGCCGAAAGAAGAAAAAAAAAAGAAAGAAAGAAGCAAAATGCATAGGTTCAGTTTAAGCTATACACGTGGCGTCCAATTGAGCACCTCAACCTACGTTTATTAAGATGGAGAGGGATATACTTAAGACCATCTTTATCAACACTCCAACCCAATCCAACTTACCAATTAACAATTATTTCTTTCTCCTCCATCTACACAACCCAACTTTACAACTCAACTTATTTTGATCTGCAACCCAACTCAATCTAAAATATTTATTTTATTTTATTTATTTATTTATTAAGTATTATCTATAATTGATTTGGTTTATTGTTTTAGGTGTGACAAATTGATTAAAAATTTTAACTAAACTCTTAATTATTAAAAGATTATATATCTTTCATATAATAAAAAAATTACGAACACAATTAAAATTTGAAATTACAAACATTGGAACAATATATTAAAATTAGTTAAACAAGTACAAATATTTCGAATAAAAATCGCGTATCAACTATCATTACTAAATTGCAATTGTGTTTCAAAATATATAAAATGTGGTATCTATTTATAGAGAATAAAAAAAAATATGAATTCTAGTATTTTTTTTATTTTTTATTTAAATTAACCCCTAAAAATACAAATTATTTTTTATCTTATTTAAAAAATTACACTTGTCTAATAAAATTTGAACAAGTATCCCATATCCCTTCCACCAACCGATTTGACCCAATGTCACATTGTGACCTAGGTCCCGCATTTTTCTTGATTTATTTTTTTATTTTTATTTTTCTTTTGCTGGTGACCTAAGACATTGGGTCACCGATAAACACAGCCTACGAATAGTCGTAGCTTAATAAAAGAAAAATTATAATAAAAATGAATTATACAATGATGGATGCCAGAATGGATATAGAAATCCTTAAAAAACAGATATATGATTTACTCAATTATGTTCAACAACAATTTATAGATTCTATACAAAGTTTAGAACTAATAGCGGCTATAATAATCAATGATATTAAGCAGTAAATTCCTAAATGTCCTTGCAAAAAAGAAACTTTTGAAAAACATGAGATAGCCCTCAATGAAGAAAGGAATATACCTTTTCTAAAATATTCGTTCCTAATGATTTCGTAGGAAATGAAGAACTAGGATGTTCAGGAAATCATAATGCCTTTAAATGGCCAAAAGATGTCTTGAGAAAATAATTTTTCAAGAAAACTTGAAAAAAATCTCTAAAATCTAATTAATTTAAATCTTGATGATGAATAAGTTGAAAGACTTTAGCATCAGATTGAAATGAGAAATGGATAAATGCAATTCAAATCTAGAATCAGATTGAAATGAGAAATTATTAAAACTTGATAAAAATGAACAATTTTATCAATTTGAAGAAACTGAAACTAACACTCAATCAGAATGAAAAATGAACTTCAATAATGAAGAAGAATAATAAAAGAAGCGTTTCGAATTGAAAACCCAAAATCATCTGGAACAAAAAATGATAAAGGAATGGATACTGTTGAATTCGAAAGAAAACCTTCAGTGACTCCAAGAGCACCCAGATCACCTAACAAATTTATTGAGTTTTTTTGTTAACAAATTTTTTGAGATTTTAGTGAGTTAATTTGAAATAAATTGTTTTGAAAAGAAATTGGTGTAGATTTGATGTTTACATGATATCTTTTAAAAGCACGTGAGATTTAATTATTTAAAACCTTGAGGTTTTGATGGCAATATTCATTTCAAATTTTTTTATAACAATTTGTTGTGCATTTAGAAAAAAATCGTTTATTCTTTTTACATTTTCTTAACAAGTCCATGAATAATTTCAGATCGAATATTTTGGTATCAAGTCCATGAATAGAATCGTGTATATCTCATAATCATGCTTGATTGTAATTCAATTATGTATATCTCTTTAAACCAACCTTATTATTATGATATGGTAAATCGATTATGTTTATCGATTTCAACAAACTTTATCATCATGATACTGTAACATTGTAAAATTATTGGCAACCTCATTTGAGAAGTGTGGTTCAATTTTTTAGAGATTAATTTATTTTTCAAAGTACTTTTATTGGAATAATAACTAACAAATCCGATTGAGTTTAGCTATAAATACTTGTGAATCTGAGTTTTCATTTTATTTTGTTAAGGGAACACCATCTGCAACTTTTCAGACTTTCATCATACTCTAAAATTGCAGATTTTCTTAACCAAATTTATTGAGATTTGGTGAATTAATTTAAAATTAATTATTTCAGAATAAAAATTGGTGCATTTTTTATATTTGCACTATATCTTTTTAAAAGCACATGAGATTTTATTGTTTAAAATTGTTAGATTTTGATGACAATATTCAGTTCAATTTTAGTGGTAAGAATATGTTGCACATTGAGGAAAGAAATTTTCTTCTTTTTATATTTCCTTAATAAAATTTTTTATATTCTGGTTAAATAACTTTAGATCCAATATTTTGGTATCAATACATTAATATAATTGTGTATATCCCGTAAACATGTTTGATAGTAAATTAATTATGTCTATCTCTTTAAACAAACCTTATCAAAAAAATATTGTAAATCAATTATATTAATCTCTTTAAACCAACTCTATCATTATGGTATGTAATATTTTAAAATTATTGACAAGCTCATTTGAGATGTGTGTTTTCATTTTTTTTTTTTATTTTTCAAATTATATTTTTGGGTATAATAATTAACAAATTCGAGTGAATTTAACTACAAATAAGTGTGAATCTGAGTGAAAAAAAATAGATTCAAATCAATTTCTACTTCATTTTTCAAGGGAAAATCGTGTGAAATTTTTTAAAATTTGATCTTACCCTAAATTTGTGGATTCTTTTTTCTTAATCAAATTTACCGAGATTTGGTAATTAAATTAAAATAAATTATTATTGAGTAAAAATCAATGCATCCTTGATGTTAACACGATATATTTTAAAAAACACATGAGATTTTATTGTTTAAGATCGTGAGATTTTTATGAGAATATTTAGTTCAATTATTTGGTAACAATCTGTTGCACATTTAGTAACAAACATTTATTCTTTGTACATATCCTTAACAAAATTTTTGATATTTTAGTTAAATAATTTCATATCAATTACTTTGGTATCAATTCCATAAATAGAATTGTGTATATCCAATAAATATATTTGGTAGTAAATCATTTATGTTTATCTCTTTCAATTATGTTTATTTTTTTTAAACAAACCTTATCAAACCAAGAATGTCGTGTATAAGGAATTGTTTAATAATATATACATTTCATTTTCATTTTAATGATATTGGTAATGTCATGATCGTTTATTCATCAGACAATTTAGCACAAAACTGTTCGAGTAGAATACCAGAGTTCCAATGTGATTGGATCGGTTTCTACTTGTAAAAACAATTCATTGGAAATTATATTATTTGAGGCACTGCTTTATCTTATATCTTTGCATTTATTATATATTTCACGTATGATAAACTCCTTAGATCATTTTTAGCTATGAGGCATAGTTGCACATTTGATGGCAATCATGGATCATGTATTTAAAACTATAATCTTAAATAAGTTCCAAGTCAATGAGTGTTTTGAGAAGGAAATCGAATAACCTGGTAAGATTTGTATGATGCATGCTCGTTGAACGAGGATGTTGCATTCCATCAATATTAGCATGTGAACGCAAATGCATATATGCAGGTGCTTATTGGGAATAAGTTCACTGAACATGATCCAATGAGAATTCTTAGTTGGGAGTTTTTCAACTGTCAAATAAGAATTTTTATGTTGCAATAGTACAAGAGTGATCCTCGGACTCGAGGCACGATAGTTATCTTGTGCATGTTATTCTTTACTTTGATTTACTCTTTGATTGTTGAACAATCATAAAATTGATATTTTGGGTACTGTATCAATATGTATGGAGGTTTATCTGTGGCCAATATAGAATTCGACACTTATGTAGATAAGTGAATTTCCTATGTTTTTCATAGTTGGGGATTCAAATACCTTGGCCAGGACGGGATGAATATGGATTCATAAAGGGATCACTAAACATAAAACGAAATCATAGATATTAAATGAATTGGGTTTCGAATTATAGTTTCATGCTTAAGATTGAATCGGGAAATTAGTTGTCGAAAGGATTTTAAATGTATGCACTTGCAATTGAAAAAGTTTACTTGCTATTTCACTTAACACTAGATAATCATGCTACTTGCTAGGTGTTACCATGATTTGTAAGTTCTTGAAATTAAGGAGTTAAACTCAAGAACACAAATTAGTTGGATTAATTAAATTGCAAATGAGTTGTAAACCCACTACTAGTGTTAATCGTGAATCTAATAGGGTCACACCAAATATGGATGATGACATTTTAAAATTTATATTTTCAATAATTGGATTAATTAACAAGACTTAATGAGATAATTTGATTATTTAATTAAATCTAATTTTGATAAGATGGCAATTGAATGAATAGAATAAATTAGTCAATTGGATTAATTAATTAGGCATTGAATATTAATTAAGTAATTGTTGGAATTACTAAATTAATAGTTGCTTGTTTAATTAGAAACCCAAGTAAGAGAGAATTTTTTTATATCACAAAAGATAAGATTTTGACCAATTATTTTGAAATTTAGTTTCCTATATTATGAATCATTATCTTTAACTAATATTTATTAAAATAAAAAAATTTCAAAAATAAAAAAAATTTATTAATTACTGGGGGCAGCCAACAATGTAAGCCGCCCCACATCTTTTACATATGTATATGTGATGTATACTTAGTGAGAGCCAAAAAGGCTTTGCTCCCAAATTTTTGCGTGAGTAGAGGTTAAAGGTGTGTTTTGTACACAAAATTATCTATTTCATACTCAATCTATATTCAAAATCTAACACAACTTTAAACCAACACATTATTCCTATTATTATTCATATAATTAAATAATACAATCTACCCATTCTTACACATGACATCAACATAAATTCTGTTTCTGAGTTTGTTGAGGATGACGAGCTGGTCAGTATCCCGTCCCTTCCTTCTCTTTAGCTTAGCTCTAGAAGGTTAAGAGCTAGCATGGTTTTGAGGAACAGTGTCGGGCTGATTGAAAGAAAGAAGTAGTTCCCTTCTCGGTTTCAGAAGGACCGAAGGTCGGACTAAGTTCAGGGATTATGATTACTCTTTGTTCTCAACCGCTAAAGGAAGAAGGAAGCAGAGCAACCAGTGGATGCTTGAAAGTGATGTAAGCCGAGTTCTTGACTTTCTAATAGAGGTAATCCCTCTTTGTTCTCTTTTTTAGAGACAAGGAAATGGAAAGACACGCCTACTTTGATGGGCTTACCGGCTTACCCGGCCATTCGTTCTGGTCTAGGAACAGCTGAACTGAAGCCTGTAATATTAGACTTGAAAAAAACCCTTTTCTTATATTTATATCTGAATCGCAGGCAAGGGCGGAGCTCTCTTGCATACCTTCTGGAGGATTTGATATGGATCTCACTTGTTCTAGAATCAGAAGTTTCCTAATCGAATAGGATAAGAATTCCCGATGCAGGCCAACTCTGACCATGTTGCGAGCTGTGGAGCCTATGCCTTTTAGGTGGAATCTTTTACCGCTGGATATTCATCAACTCACATAATTTTCACTATCACTTCACATCATCTGTCTCCTACTTTTACGTCAAATAAATTTTTAATTATTTTATTTTAAATATTATTTTAGTATATATAAGTAAGATTGAATGTGGGATTCCTATGAAGGTAATCCCCCAAGCATTGGTCTTTGTCTCATGTAAGAAGTAGGATGACCGAAACAACTTATTTTGAAACAATCCTTCTTAAGGGAAGCTCAAAGACCAAATCCAAATCATACCGCAATTTTCAAAATTAACCCTGATTAATAAAAAAACTAATTTTTAGCAGACTAATTAGTAAACAAGCACACCCTAAGAAATCAACATCTTAATCATTTTGTTTTTCGTTTTTGAGAGTGCGAGCCATTTGAAAAAAAGAAAATCTCCTCTCTTAATTCATCCTATATACCAATTGAAACTCGAAATGATTCTACTAGCGAAGATATTGTTTTCATAGTCGGAATTCAAAAGGTGAATTTCCTTAGAGGGAGACACGTGAATCCCTACGGTGAGACGAACGAAGACGATGATAGTCACATATTTGGGAACCGGTTCCCTCGCCGTCGTCGTATTTTGAAGAAAGCTAAAGATAATTAATTTTTAAAATTCTCTACTAATCAAAATTCGTACTTTTACATGATTTTAAAGGATGTCGATCGCTATGTGAATTGATGGGTTAGTATTAATTCGATACATGCTTGTTTATTTCGTGTTATAATCGTTGCATTTCACCCTTTACGGTATAGAGAACCCAACAAAAACTCCATTTTAAGAAAACAAGTAAGTAATAGAAGTGGATTCTAGTTTGTGAATAAAGGGGCTTGTCTTGGTCAATCACCTATTGATGTAGCGCAACGTTAAACGAAAGGAATCCGAGAGATAAATCTCAAATAACGTATTTTTATTTCATCCAAGCCGATCCTCTCAAATGTAAGAGACAAAAAATAAATAGAGTCCAACAGTCCAATCCCTATCTTGCTAAACAAGAAATGGATTATTCACCTAATTAAATAGCAAACAAATAAACTAGCATAAATAACTATGGTAATAAAATAATTAAATATTCTAAAGTCGAAGAGGATTGTATTTTGCTAGATACGCAAGCGCGATCTCGTCGCCATCATCCTCCCCCAGTTGAGGAGGATTCTCCCTCAAATCCAGAACGATCTCGTCGCCATCCGAAGTCTCACCTAGATAAGGCACCAAATGCGTGACGTTGAACACGTCAGAAGCCCGAACATGCGACGGTAAGCGAAGGCAATACGTATAAGGATTGATCTTCTCCACGATCGCAACCGGACCAATCTTACGAACCGACAACTTGGTATATGTGCTAGCTGAAAAGCTGTTCGCCGACAAGACCGCCCATACGTAATCACCAACGGTAAACCCATAAACTGGCATTCGTTCTTCATCAACCTCCATGTCGTATCCATAATTCCTAAAACCAACAAAATCAACCACCGTACTTCTTTTCTCACTAGTAGGACAAGCAAAATAATAATTGTGCTTCCTGTTGTCAACAAGTAAATCCCTACGAAATGAATCAATAACAAACTCATTTGAATAAGCACTCCCACTATGCCCAACAGTGCATAACCTGTACACCGCAGGCTCAACCCTCATTTGTTGCCCAACATTCATAAAAGGTTCACCACTAAAGCATTTAGAACCAACACCAAAAGCATTGGAATTTCCACAACCAACCTGCTCTTTATTTTTTTCACCTCCAACCCAGCCACCCGTAATTTGTACACCGCAGACTCCCTATAGTCATCAAATCCACACAAACCACAACTACTCAGTTCAGGAACTGCAAGCTTTCTCCCAGTAGATGATGTAGAAGGATTTGTAGCAGCGCCACCATTCACATGAGTCGCCACACCACCTCGTGTTTCCATAATGTAGGCATCCTCCACATGCAAAGGAACCTCGAGATCCTTCGAAAAATGAACATGCCGGTCGAGAGCACCCGTATGGGCCACGTCCTCGAATGCCTCGACACATGTCAGCGGTGCACGAAAGAGTCCTCCGACGAAACCCGAGGGGATAGATACGAACGACGAAGAACTAAAGCATGACCGACATCTCCGTATACGTGTTCTTCAGTTGGTTCGCGCTCCTTATCAAAAATTGGAGGAGAGTCATATAAAAGATGCTCACCCTGATCACCTGAGTCCTCTGCAAATAAAGCCCGAACGCCACCGGGTCGAGGACACGTCGACTGTCTGTGGCCCATCTCGCCACACGAAAAACATCGAAGCCCGCCCGACGTCCATGCATTGTGCTATGAACCAATAGCGACACCAGAAGGACCTAAGCCCGCTGCCGCTGTCCGCCCCGGGCCGAAAGTACCAGCATCCCCACTACCACCAGGACCAACCGCCATGGACTTTCCTATCGGTCCAATCGCTTCACCCGGAGCACCCGTCCTCGTTGCTGGAAACAACGAAGAAGACGAGCGACGCGCGAGTTGCTGTTCCACCAACACAGCCTGCTGATGGGCATCAGAAATAGAGTCCGGGCTGAAAGGTTCAACATATCTTGAATTGGTATCCGAAGCCCGCCAATGTAGCACGAGACCAGCTGTTCCGATGTCTCTCAAACATCGACCTGTGTGAGAAGAGTGTAAAACTCTTCTGTGTTGTCGTCCACCGACCAAGCCCCTTGTCGTAAATTTTGCAATTTTTGATAAATAGTACAAACATAGTTGAAGGGTAAGAACTCACGTTCAAGGTGTTTTCGGAACTTAGACCAAGACGTGATTTTTGACTTGCCCAACCGATGTCGCGAACCCTTAACGTGCTGCCACCACGCTGCCACCCGGCCCCGTAGGCGTGTCACCACCAGCCCCACTCTTCTCACCTCTGGCACCCCCTTAAACTCCAAAACAGATTCAACCGACGCCATCCAGTCGAGGAATTCTGCTGCGTCGAGCCCGCCCGTGAACTCGGGGATGTCGACACGGAAGGAGCCCTCCCATCACCTATCGCCATCCTTGTCCGCCACCTGTTCGTGCTGCCCGAACGGGTTGACATCCTCGTATGTCGCATCTGAATCCTCTTCGTCGTTGGAGTGTGGCGGCGATTGAAATCGCCTGTCTCCTCCCAAGCCGCGACCCCCGCGACCTCCAGGCTGTCCACCACGACCGCCGCCCCGCACCCGGGGTCTGTCACGGTTCGTTTGCTGGCCCTGTGCAATTGTATAAAGAGCCCGACGAATTTCATCCATCCTCGTCGAAAGATATGCCATCTCGCGACCGATAGCTTGGAATTGCCAACCAAACCCCTCGACTTGGTGAGTCAAGGACTCGATGGCGGAGTCGCGTCTATCGTCGGCAGTCTCCCTTCGTGGCGCTATCTGGAATCTTCCCGGGTTCTGGATACCAACTGATGTAGCGCAGCGTTAAACGAAAGGAACCTGAGAGATAAATCTCAAATAATGTATTTTTATTTCATCTAAGCCGATCCTCTCGAATGCAAGAGACAGAAAATAAATAGAGTCCAACAGTCATATCCCTATCTTGCTAAACAAGAAATGGGTTATTCACCTAATTAAATAACAAACAAATAAACTAGCATAAATAACTATGGTAATAAAATAATAAAATATTCTAAAGTTGAAGAGGATTGTATTTTGCTAGATATGCAAGCGCGATCTCGTCGCATATGGTAAACGGGGCCTTGAGGATTTGAATCTCGTGCAAACGCACGCACAACACTATTATTATGTTATTCAAAATCTTACTACATGAACGAGTATGTCACACCCCGCCTTACTACTAGCTTTGAAAATCAGAGTAAAATTTTTGTTTTTATTTTCGAAAGAACGTGCGAGCTGGGTTTTCGAAAATACTGACTTATTGCGGGATGTGGCAGATAAAAACTTAAACTGAAACTTGGGCTTGCCCACAGACATAATAAAACATGCAACCAAACTGTCCGCTCGCGGATTATGGAATTATACATGCATAGTCTGTACTATCTCGCACTGTCTAGAAGAACTCGCTGGCGGAAGCATCTGAAATACGAATACATAACATGCGTACATAAACTGAATAAAATACACATGATCATAAATCTAGGACATAAAAATGCTGGTAAAATATGTCCGACTCTCATGACCACGCTGCGCCACATCTGTGCTCATCCGGCACGCTCGACTCCGTCTCCTGAAAAACACAATGGGGGCGTGAGCAAACCACTATGCTCCGCAAAGACCAGTACTGAACAAAACATCATCTATAATAACGTATCATGAAACATAAATATATAAGAGCTGAAACTGTAAACTGATCTCTGATGTCTGTTCTGATCTGTGGTCAAAAGACCCTCGGCCGTAGCCGCTCGTGTGCACACGCCGATGGGGTAGAAAGGGCCTCGCCCCTCCCAACGGTCATCAGGTGGGTATAAAGGCCTCGGCCACCCAACCCGGAACTAAACTGTCTCAAACATACCTCTGCCATGGTACAGATATTATCTATGATGTGACATCCAGTACATGACCCCCACCTGAAAAACTTGAAATCTGGTATGCAAGTGCGGAAGCTGGAGTAGCGGTCGGAGGCTCGACTCTCCTTAGGCTACATAAATATTTAAGCAAAATAATGCTAAGTATAATGCTCAGAATATTTAATTATATGCTAAAATGCTCGGACTTATCTACGCGATTAAACTGGACTGGACTGGCTCGGAAAAATACTGAAATTTCCGGAACTGGACTCGGATCAGAAATCACGAGTAAAAACTGACTCGAACCGCCGGTCGAACCGGCCGGTTCGCTGGCTGGCCGGACCGCCGGCTCGACTGGGCCGGGCGGTCGGGCTGGGTTCGGCTAGACCGGGCTCGGTCCCGTGCCGGGCCAGCTGGTGCCCGGGCACGGCGCTGGGCACGGCTGGTGCGACCGGGCTCGGTCCCTGGGGCCGCTGGACATGTCTTGGCGCGGACTGGCGCTGGTGGGCACGGCCAGGGGCTGCTGGCACGGCCCGGGCACGACTGGTGCCCCTCGGGTGCGTGCTGGGCACGGCCGAGGCTCGACTGAGGCGCTGTCGTGCGGCTGGGCACGGACAGGCACTGGCCAGACGCGGCTGGCACGGGGAAGGCGCGGACAGAGGCCCCTAGGGCGCTGCCGGGCCGTCCCGAGGACACTGGGCACTCGGGCATGCTGCTGGGACATGCACCGAGACCGACTGGCTCAGCTGACCCGGCTTGGATCAGCCCTGGACCTGGCACGAGGCTCTGGCACGAGACCTCGTGCGCTGGGCTTGGCACGGACGCTGCCGGGCGTCCCTGGGCACGCGGGTGTGCTGCTGGGCACATCCCGGGCCAACTGCGTGCTCGGGCGTGGCACTGGCACGACCCGAGGTCGGCTACGCATGACACGCGAGGCCATGCGTGCACTGAGGCTGGGACAGCGCGGCCAGGCGCTGTCGGGGTTGCTTGGGCGCGACGGGCGCCACGACCCCGGGTACGACGCGGACAGGCACTGCGGGCGCGCTGTCGCGGACACTGGTGCCTCGCGCACGCTGGCGCGGGCACGGACTGGCACTGGGCCGGGCACTGGCGCGCTATGTGCGCGGGCAGTGACCAAGGCCGGCCCTTGCCGGACCTCCGGCAACATTTCCGGTGACATGCAACTCCAAACATCATGATATGGTAAAATAAGCATAAATATCACATAAAACACTAGTGGACCCCGGGTCCACATGCATGATACTCGGGAGGGCCTAAATGGCACGTACGAGCAACTTGGCCTCCGAACCAACATTCATAACTTACAAAACTACTCAGGGCCGAATGATATACATCACAAATGATGACTATAATGGCTAACACTTGGGTCATACCATGCATGCATGAGGATGGGCCTCGGGTGGCCAAAATAGCGTATTTTCATGAATGAATTGACCAAGGCAATGAACTCCATTTATTCTCAAATTTTTACAGCATCAATGGTATGATATTTAAGGGTGATTTAACCAACATTTTCGACTTTGGCATGCATGCAACTAAAATTTTATTTTTAAGGCCATTTAATTCAAAAATTCGTAAATCATATATAATGACATGCATGGCTCGGTTTCTCTTCATGAAAAATCTTAAAATATCATAAAATAATTAATGAACATAAAAATCCCGAGCTTACCTCGGTTAGAAATGGAGATAATGAACTAGGGCTCGAAATGTGGTTATGCACGGCTTTAGGGGTTGGCTTGGACTTAGGTTGTGATTTGCTCGTGCCAAACACCTCCAAGAGACTTAGAAAAATATAAGGTACACTTATATGGTGCTAAGCCTCGAGGGAATGTGCTTGGAAAAGGCTGAGGTGCGGTCCTCCTTCTTCCCCGGGGCTGCGCGCGCGAGGTAGGCACCAGCTGGGTTCTTCTCACTTTTCTGATTTTTCCCTAAGTATTTGCTCGAGGTATTGGGGGTCTAAGAACTTCCTTGCATCTTATAGAAGAGGTTTATATAGGATATGGGGCGGAACTTGCTATGTGAGGTCAAAGGGGACCAAAATGGTTGGGAATCTTTCTCTTTTCATGCACATGAGTAGAGGCTAGTCATGGGGAACAATGGCTGACTTAAATCACGGTTTGGGTGGAGATTCCTGGTGGTTTTACAGAGCTCAAACGTTTATTTAAGTGATCTGGTCAGCCTTGGTACAAAAGTGGGGGACAAGGACAAAATTTCTTGAATAAACAATGTTGTGCACATGCTTCACTTCATGCTAAACTCTAGTTGACTTTCCTTAACAATGCTTAGGGCCAATTAAGCTCATTTAGACCCTTATTAAGTGCCTAATACACGTATGAGTTGGGCCCTGAGCAAAGTGGGCCGAAAATAATGGTTTTGGGCCTTAGAAGTGGACCTGCCATTCCTGCCGCTGGGCTGCTGGGCGCGGCACTGGGCCTGGGCGCGGGCTGGCGCGAGGGCGCGGCCTGGGCTGCGCGGTCACGGGCTGGCGCGGGGACATGCTGGGCTGCTCTGGCAAGATGGGCTGCGCGAGTGTGGGGACCTTGGACCCAACCTAAGGACTTCTCTTGGTATCCCAACACTTAGAAAAGATTTGCAAAGTGATGTTAAGGCATGGGGACATGCCCTTGGGCTCGGTTTGGGCGTGCATGGCGCGACTAAGGCGCGGCTCGGGTCTCGGGCACGAGACTCGACTAGGGCTCGATATAAAAGATCAAGACTTATACTTTGATATTTTTATACACTTAGAAAAATATTCTAAGTATAAAAATACCAATACTTGGCCATGCTCGGAATTTACCCGGAAATCAACTCGGAACCCAACTAGGGTTCGGAGTCGATAAACTCTCGAATTGACATGCTATTATTTATCAACCCAAATTAATGGATTAATCTTAACTTAGACTTGATATAGAATTATTCAAAGAATAATTTATCATGTTTGATCATTTAGCATAAATAATATAACTCGAAATTTCTGAAACTTACGGATTTTCACTTATAGTCCAGCAGTGAAACCGTTCTGAATATTATTACTGTTTTGGGGCGTTACAGAGTAATTTATGTTTTATCTTGTCGGATTATTCTAATGCTTGGACCTTATAAATTGATGATATATTTGGGATACTCAGTCAAATGGAAAATAAAAATATTCGTATAAAAATGAATTTACGCATAATTATGTGGGGCCAGTATGGCTGTAAACTAGCTAGAAATCGAGCTCGAGCTTCACTCTTTTATCAATATTAACGAGTCAAGTTTGAGCCTATTCGAATTGATATCAAGCTTTAACGAGCTGAACAATAGAAAATTATATAAAATTCTCTTTTGGAGTCTTTTCGAACCGAGTCGATCCCAACTCATTGTTGAAAAACGAAGTTTAAACGAGCTTGAGCTCGACTCATTTATCAAACGAATCTAGTTGAACTCTAGTTGAACTCGAGCCATAACGATTGGGTTCGAGTTGAGCTCAGGAACAAATCGTTTTATTTAACAGCTATGGGGGCTAGCAATCCTCACTCTTGAAGCTCCTCTCAGTGAGAGGCATTTTCGAGGTTTTAAACAAAAAAAAAAATCAAAATTTCATTATTGGAGTGAGGTTACTATGTATTAAATTTTGTACTAAGTTATGAGAGAGAAAGACATAGATAATAAAGAATGATTAATAATATTCAGTAGTTAAGGTAATATTAGACCAACTTTGTAGGTTTATAATTGTGAATGTGAAATAAGAAGTGGTTTATTAAACTTGACCTGATGCTATGTTATTAAAAGGTAAGTTTTTGTTTTTGTTATAAGGATGTTTAATGTTTAGAGGCTAAATTGCAAAAATTAGCCAGTAACTTAGACGGGTTTGCATTTATACCCATCATCGTTCGATTTTGGCAATAATAGCCAAAACGTTTTAAAAAATCGGTCTTTCTATCCAAATCCGGCTAAACTCGTCGGAACTCCGCCTGACGTCACAAAACATGCCAGCGTGGACTGCACGTGGACGAATTAATCCACCTCAGCTATACGGTCTATAAATACACCATCCACGCGTTTTCTCCTTCATTTTTCACACAAAAATTGGCCAAAATTCGAACAAAAAAAAAAAAAAAAGCAGCCCCAAACATCGACCAGAAACCCTAGATTTCCAAAGCCTTCTTGTTCGGTACAAGCTTTAAGAAATTCGACTTAGAATGAAGCTCTAAAGAGATGTCTCACAACACAGGTAATCCAAATTGCGGTTGTGGGTTGCGAGCTGAATTTCGTACTTCGTGGAAAACTCCCAATTGTGGAAGAAGATTTTTCTCGTGCCTCCATTGGCCTGTAAGTCATACAATATTTGAGAGTTTTAGGTGAATAACTGCTTTGTTATTTAATTTGTTTTTTGTTTTTATTTATTTATTTTATTTTTGCTGGAATTCAGTGAGGAGGATGCAAGTATTTTGGATGGGTCGATCCTCCTCATTGTGCACGTGCTCAACAAATAATTCCTGGGTTGCTCAAGAGATTGAATGAAATGGAAGAATCAAGTAAGAGTGCTGACATTAAAAAATTTGAGGTTCTGAAGTTTGAAAAAGAAAACAAGAAATTGAAGAAAGTCAATTTCCAGTTTGAAGAAAAAAACAAGAAGTTGAAGAAACTCAATTTTGAGTTTGAAGAAGAAAACAAGAAACTAAAGGCAGAAATTCTGAAATTGAAGTATGAGAGTGCAAAAAAAACAAGACTTCTAAGGATGTTAGTAGCATTATTGATAACTTGGAGTTTGGTGTTTTTCTTTTGTGGCTCTCACATAGATGATGAAAAGATGGTCAATAATTGATATTAGGTTGATGCATATTTGTAATGTTGTTGACATTGTTGTATTTGGATGTAAGTTGATCTTGTAATGGCATAACAAATGTTAGTTTGTGGCATATTTGTGGGCAGTCTGTTGACCATTTTTTACAGTTTTAGCTGCAGCTTTGCCTGAAATACATGTAGCATAAAAATGTGCACACAAACTTCACACAACAATATACACAAACCCCTTATTATCCATAACAAAAACCATAAGACCATAACAAACCCCTTATAATCCATAACAAACTACACAGTGCATACCAAATCCAACAAAATTAGAATTCCTTACAAGACCATAACAAATTCATTACCAAATCCAACACAAAATGTATGAACATAAATTGTACACAAATTTCTTACAAGATCATAATAATTCCTTAGAACCCATATAAAAAACCATAACAAATCCATTACAAAATCCACAAAAACTACCAACCAAATCAGCCCATTATCAACCAGTACAAAAGATCTAACCAAATCCAAAGTTCAAAAGATCCCTTAAGCAGTTCAGAGTTATAATATTATCCATAACAAACCAATACAAAATCCCTAAAAACCCATTATCAACCTAGTTCAACAGACACAAATTCACTTGTCATTGCCATGACCTTTTTTGTTAAGTACCAAGTACTTTTTTCCCTTATTAACTACAACCTTTTCATGAGCTAATGTAATGCTGCTTCCCACAGAAAAAACAGGTCTTTTTCCAGTAAATGTAGGAGGCCCTCTGATTTGAACTCCATGTGTGGCTCTTGCAGGCTGCACTGGATTCCCCTGACTAACTGCTCATACATGGATGGTCCAGGAGTTGGTAATGGTGTATTATTGTCACAAAAAAACAAAAACGAAATTTATAAAGAACACACAAGCTGGTGCGAAACAATAGAGGAAAATTAAGGAATCTTACGTACGCAGGAGGAGAAGAGTTCGGATTCCTATTGCTTTCCAAGAATATTGAGGATGTCATCAAATCGACGTCTTAATTTCTTGATCGATTTGCAGAATGAAGCATTAGGGTTTCTGGTCGATGTTTGGGGCATTTTTTTGTTCGAAATTTGGCCGATTTTTGTGTGAAAAATAAAGGAGAAAATGCATGGATGTTGTATTTTTATAGACCGTATAGCTGAGGTGGATTAATTCGTCCACGTGCAGTCCACGCTGGCATGTTTTGTGACCTCATGCGGAGTTCCGACGAGTTTGGTCGGATTTGGGTAGAAAGACCGATTTTGTAAAACGTTTTGGCTATTATTGCCAAAATCGAAAGATGGTGGGTATAAATGCAAACCCGTCTAAGTTTTTTTTTTTTTTTTTTTTTTTTTTTTTCGAAACGATAGAAGAATTATATAAAAGGCGCACAAAAGTGCGGAATTACAAACTGGGAGGCTAGACCGAAGTCCGCCTAGTATCGCTGGCAACGCCAGAAGAAAACCAAACTCAAACAACGAACAACTAGAAACTGGCTCCCCACGGGAGAAAAACACAACTAAAGCACAATCACAAAACTAAAAGCTCCCCTTAGAGAGAATGCCTAGGTGTTGGCTCCCCACAGGAGAATAAAGGTAACACCCAGGTGAACAGGGGCCAACGGCCCAAACCAAAAACACAAAAACACAAATAACAACATAAGACATAAAACTCGCACAAAACCACACGAACGAGACATACTAACTACAACTAAAACGTCCCCCACAACAGTCGAATCCAAATGTCAGCCGAAGAAACCAAAACCGAAGCCAGCTTCAGAGAACCAAACCTCCGCCCACCACTGCATAAGGCCTAGCAAGGCGATTGCTCGGCCATCCAACACTAACCAAGGATTTAGCCCGCACTCCACACAATTGTAGGAACAACCGACCCCCAGCCGAACCGACTCCACCCCAATGCTACCAATGCAGTCCTAGGTAGCCTCAACCAACCCGGCCCGGCAGCCGAAATAGAAGAGGAAAGGGCCGAAAGCCTACAATGCTAGGCATCGTCCAAATGACCCAACCAAGAGAGCCATCTTATCAGTCCAATCCCCAAAAGCAGCCAGCAGCACCTCAGAGAACCGAGGAGATGAGACCAAAACGATGGAGGCCAAGATTCTCAGCCCCTGGACAAAAGATCTCAGCTGACCACCGAGAAGCCCTCCACCTGTCGCAGCAAAAGAAACCGAGCCAAACCAGTAAAAGGGAAGCTTACCACCGTACGATGCTGCCGATCATCGAGGACGGAAGCTCGCCTTCCTAGGCACTGCTTCGCCGGTGCAGAAGGACAGAGCCACAGATGACGGGAAGAGGAGTGAGACCGAGGAGACAACGTCTCAGCCTGGGACACCTCGACGGACCAAGCCACAACCAAGCGCGGCCACTGCGACCCGAACCACCGCAACCGCCGCCAAACACCTTCGATCGACTTGGGAAAGGGCACCTCGTCGATCCCACGAATCTGGAACAGGGCCAACGAATGGAGACGAGCGCAAGTCCGACTTGAGTGAGCGGTGGAGGCCGTCGACCGACGGCTCCAGACCGCCGTTAAGGGGGCAACGGCACTGCACGAATTGGGCGACTAGGGTTGAGGGGATTTTGGGGTTGAGGGAGAGAAAGTTTAACTTCTTTACAAAAACCCGTCTAAATTACTGGCTAGTTTTTGCAATTTAGCCTTGTTTAGACGTATACTTTTTATAAATCTACATATTTATATATTTAATTAAATGTCATATTTTAAACTATAATATAAACACATGTATGAAATTTTGTTATATAATAAGTACATACCTTTTTATATTAAAAAAATAAATATGACTGCACAATATTTAGACAGCCTAACAACAATATCTGTTTAAATTACCTTATCTCACAAATATAATAAATCTGTGTGGCTGGGTCAATTCACTACAACAAAATGAAGAAATTTCAACGGAACGTTCCAATACAAATATATCTTAATGGAATTCCAACGGAAATTCCAACAAAAATATTTCGTTGTAATGAGTTTTCCATTGGAATTTCCGTTGGATTTTGACGGTTCCAACGGTAAATTTTCCAACGGATGTGGAAATAAAAATTCCAACGGAAATTGCATATTCCAACGGAAATTTCTACGATAAAAAATCGTTGAAAAAATAGCCGTAGGAATCATCAAATTCCATCTAAAATTCCAATGGAAAAGTCATTCCAACGCCATATATTCGTTGAAATTTCCGTAGGAATCATTCCAACGGAAGCTATACCATTAGAATATCCGTTGGAATTTCCGTTGAAATATATTATCGTAGGATTTTCCGTTGGAATATAACATTTTTTTTGTAGTGATTATTTTTACACCAAGGTTCAATCTTAGAGAAAAAATCAGGAAGGGTTAATTTTCTCAAGATTGGAACTAATGTTAATGACTTTCAAGTTCAAAACAATCTTTTTCAGCGGAAAAAAAAAAAATGGGAGGGTACTCTCATAGTTACAAAGAAACTAGTTGCCTCATGATAACAATGTGCAGCTTCTAATATTCATTATTATATTCTGGGAAAGCTATTGTTTTTCTACTTGATCCCAGACAAGTTTTTTCATGAAGTTATCCAAGAACAGACAAGTAGCTGTACCTCTTCACCATCAAGCTGGCACTTTTCATGGGTCAACCTGCAATGCTTAATTGACTTCTCTATTATTAACGTGTATCATAAATGAGTCCTGCAATTGTGGGTTTCTTTCAAAAGTATCCCACGTTTATTTTGAATGCCTGTAAGTTTCACATTCCACCCATGCGGTCATGTCGTTTTGGTGAGTGTAACAGATATTGACAGTATTAATAAGAAAGAATAATCGAATTATAGAATATACCAATCACTACTGTTCTAGAAGTAAAATTGAATTAGGGTTATTTCCCTTATATACACTTTCACGTTGGTGAGTATTAGTGTATTTTACGGCTCCATGTTAGAAAAATCATTGAAGTTGAAAATTGCAAGAAAGGAGCATAGTATTGTTACCTCACCATTTGAAGAAGAAAGTCGTTATCTTTATGTGGTAGTGCAATGCTTTAAAATGAGTATAGCGTAATGCGTCACATTTTTGTCTTTATACTGCGTAGCGTAAATAACGTTGCGTGTTGCGTAAGCTATTTGGGTATTTATAGAAATATTATAAATATATTTGCATATAATAAAACTGGATGCGTTGATTACAAAATTTATCTACTTCAAAAATAACATCTAAGAATTATTTCTCACAAATGCTTAATGTAAATATCATAATATAAATATTTAAATAAAAAATCAAATATATTAAAAAGTAGAAAAAAAACAATGAAAATATAATGAGGAAGGTCATAGTATAATTTTAAGTATATGCATTTTAATTATTATTTTTTTATTTAAGTACAACTTAATTCTAACCATTAGATATGAACTTTTTATTCTTTATTTAAATTTCAAATATCGAAAAATAGAATGATATAACAAAAATGGACCGATAAATATTGCACTATTGAACTTAGGACTATGCATTTTCAAACTTTTAATTTGAAATCATTATCAAAATTTTTAGCTTTTAGTTGTCATTTGTAAATATGACTATGATCCCTAAAAAATACGAGTTTTTGAATATTTTATTGTTTAAATGACGTTGCAAATATATAGTGCACAATAGCATGATAGCGTAAAAAAGCTTGTTATTTCAACATTTTGCGTAAGCTTTTCGGGAAAAACACAAAATACATAAGGCTACATCGCTTTTTTCAGAAAAAAGTTATATAGCGAGCTATTTAAAACAATATGTGGTACTAAAAATAATGGTGAATTCTAAAGAAAGAAGTGTACTAATTATGAGTATATTGATTGGGAAATCTGAAACACCTTAAGGCAAACATACATACAAATGCTCCTAAAATGCTACAAATACTAAATGACGATTGAATTTATCTGATAAATAATATCAAGAAGGTGCAGTTTATCTGGGAACGACATGAGGTGTCGAATATTTACACTCACGCTGGGGCCATAGGCGCAAAAATAGTGTTACTCACTATACCCCCATTCCATCTCGGCGTGGGGACAACTGTGGTCAGTGTTTCGATCTTGTTTAATTGGGTCTCAGGTGTGCATGATCCTCAAGGAGTCCATCACTAACATTATCCTAGGGGCCGAGGAGACCCTGAAGGATTATGTC